AAAAAAAAAAATTCAAGCTTACGTGTATATATATATATGGACGAGCACAAACAAGCACCTTAAAGAGAGAAAGAGAAAGAGAAAGAGAGAGACAGAAAGAGAGAAAGAGATTATATTAATATGTGTGCGTGTGTGTATATATATAAAATTGTACATAAAGTAAAAGAAAAAAAAAATTTTTTTTGCTCGATTTAAATTTTGGCTTTCGTTTACTGGGGCGCCATCGACGACGATGACGACGACAGCAACAGCAACAAATAATATTTTGCCCTCGCATAAAACGTAAAATTTTTAATTATCATTCCTACGGGGATTTTTCTAAACTTATATTTATTACTTTTTAAATGCGAGTGATGGGTTTATGCGTACAAATAACGGTTTAAAAAAAAAAAAAAAAAAAAAAATTTGGCGTGGAATTAGAAACAAAAGGTTTATTTATAATAATAATAATAATTATTATTATTATTAACGCACAGACAAATCATTTGAAATTTTTTATTCTCTGCCAAATAATATTATTTAAACAATGCGAGAGTGTTAATGAGTTGGAACGTACGACCGGACGTTATAAAATATAATTAAATATTAAAAAACTCGCCTTATTATTTTATCAAAATCCTTATCGAAATAATAATAATAATAATAATAATAAAGTGTAATTGCGTTCGGTAAAATTTTTATTTTGAGAAATGAAAATACTAACGAAGTAGCGTAGGAAAAATCTAACTAGTAAAACGAATATTTTATTTTTATAAAAATAATAATAATGATAATAATTAATTAACGATACGGTTGAATGTGGTGCGTAATGCGTGCGTGCGTGTGTGCGTTTGTGCCAAATAAAAAAAAAAAAGAAAAAATTGGCTCGTCAAAAAAAAAGTAGGAAAAGAAGAAAAAAAATCTCTAAAAGTTCCAATTCGCGTGCCAAATCGTTTGATATTACCGTGAAAAAATAATAATAATAACAATAACAATGCGTGAAACACGCACGCACGTACGTACGTACGCACGAACGCATTTTTGACGTTGTTAAGAGAACGTGTTTTTTTGCAGTGAACGTTTTCCACCCAATCGTTAACGAAAAAAAAGCCGTTTTTTTAAAACAAAAAAAGTTCAAAGGGAAAAAATAAAATAAAAATGAAAATTATTATTATTACTACTATTATTATTATTATTATTATTATTATTATTATTATTATTATCGTTTTTTTTGTCGAAAGGTGTGAAAATTGAACGTGGGAAGATGAAAAGGTTGAGACCGAACGTTAACGAAAGAACGTTTCTTTTATTTACGTGAGCGAGCGAGTGAGTGAATGAGTGGGTGGGTGAGGAAGTGCGGGGTGCATTTTTTTTAGAAAAAGTGATTGATTTGTGACAACCGTGACGTATTAGTATTTATTACGTAATAAAAATAATTTAAGATTTTTTACGATTTTCTTTCTTTTTTTTTTTAAATTCAAACGAAAATTATTATTATTGCAATTAAATTTTTTAATTTTCTTTTCGAAATTTATTTTTTATTGTGCGATATTACCGGAAGTGCTTCGTTTTCACGTGTGTCGGAAAGAAGGAAAAGAAAACCACGTGATCGATACCAAAAAAAAAAAGAGAAAATGCCGAAAATTTTTTTTTCACGTTCGTAAAATTGATAGGAACATTTTAAACGTGGCAGTAGTTTTGTTTTTTTTTTCGAAATGATTTCCCGCCAAAATTTTTATAATATAACACTGCAAAACAATATCAATTCGAACAATTATTAATATTATTATTATTATAATAACAATATTAAACTTAACGCGTATTGATCATTATATAATTGTTTTGACAACGTATGACGTCATTTTTTTGTTATTTTACGTTCGGACTTTAAAAAAAAAATTTAATTACGTTCGTAGCATACAAAGAGAAAAACGAAACGTTTTACCATCACGAAAATTATTATTAATATTACTTTTTTACGTTTGTTTTGTTCGAACCGTTCGCTTTTAGATATTTCATAGAAAGAATTTTAAATTTATCCGTTATCCATTAGTTCAAAAAAAGGTTTATTTATATATGTAAGTTAATTGCGACCTTTTTTTTTTTTTTTGCGAACGTTTCCGCGGCAACAACAATCGCACGTAACGGTTACATCCTATACGAACAACCATTCTCACGTTCGTCTCGTAATTCGACGATGGAAATTTGATAAGTTGAAAAAATTAAACGCACGAAAACGTTTTTGGTGGGAAAAACGTGGCAGAAGAGAAGAAAAGAAAAATTTTTAAGGGAATACGAGAGTTGATCGATTCGATCTTTCGATTTATCGATTTCTTTTGTTTATCAAATAACATTGCAGTGCCGGTTTTAAAGGGAAGAAGAGAGTGGCGATTCGATTGATCAATTTAACCGTTCGACTGATCGATTCGACTGTTCGATAGATCGATTGATCGATTTCTTTTGTTTATATTTTCAGTGACGGTTCAAAGAATTTTCCCGAGAAAAAAAAAAAAAATGGAGGAAAACGAATGTTTTTTTTTTTATCCGACAGGAAAAAAAGCACAAAAGGGAAATAAAGGAATGTCCTGTCCTTAAGGGGGGTTGGAATGCAGATGGGGGTCAAGGGGAGGAGGTAAAAGGATGAGGGGGGAATATTTCGAGTGTACAACAACAAGCATAATTAATGTTTAAATAAATGCAATTTTTTTTTTTATTTTTGCTTTTGCCTGAATGTTGTAGTCGTCTTCTATATAGCTCGATAATAGACGAAACTATAAAAATAAAACAATTGGCTATATAGAAATTCGTGATTATTGTTTATCATCGTTTTTGCTTTTGAAAAAAAATGATAATGATAATAATGATTTTCTAATTATATCGAAATTTTTTTTCCTTTTTTTTTTTTTGTTGATAATAATAATAAAAAAATTAAATTCAAAAAGAAAAAAAAAAAAAGAAAATTGACAACTTGAATGTTGTTTCAGTGAGGTTGTCGACAACCGGAAATGTGAGAACAAGATACCGGAACCGGAAAACCAGTTTAGTGACTACAAACATTCAGGTATAATCAGGTACAGAGATTTAAAAAAAAAAAAATTGGCACAAGTTGATATAATAAATAGTCGATTGTTAAGGACAAAAAAAAAAAATTTTTTTTTTGTTTGTTATAATTTTTTTTTTTAACATGCATGCTGCTTTAGTTTTTCCGACATTTTTTTTTTACTTTATTGAAAAAAAGTAAATTTTGTTTTAGAGTTTTGAAACTTAACAAAAAAAAACGTTTTTGAAGCTTTTTTGTTTGTTTGATTTTATTTTTATCAATAAAAAGAAAATATGATGCTGCTCACGGTTGTTGTTGTTGTTTTCTCGATTTTCTCGAGTAGTGAAAATATTAATTTTTTTTACCTGCTTTTAATATTTTTATACGAAAATAGAATAATTCAAAAGGGAGAAGAAAGTTGTTGTTTCTTTTGCTTTATTTAATTGGGGGGGGGAGGGTGGCGGGTGGCAAAAGCGTAGAAATTAGTAGAGGTGCGGTTAATCAGGAAGAGAACAAGAAAAAAAAAGGAAGCGCGAATTTGTTTGTCGTCGACTTTAATATTAAAAGCAAAAACGAATCCGAATAAATTTAATTGATTAAACACAAATTAAATTTCTCGATCGATTTAATAAAAAAAAAAAAATTCAGTCGTTTCCAGAACGACAACTTATAAAAACTATTAAAAAAAAAAAAAATTGTGCACGTTCGACATTAATTTTATCATCATCATCGATAGGTATTTAATTTGTTTATTAATGAATCTCGTTTTTAAAAAACACTTATTGAAAATGATAATAATAATAATAATAATCATAAAACAAGCAAACAAACAAACGATCGAGTGTTGTAAAATTGTTGTTAAAAAAAAAATGGAAAACAAGAAATTTCGTGGGTTAGAGGAAAAGTTAGTTCAATTATAACGTGATTGTTAAGTGCGTGTATTATTAAAATAATTATTATAAAAAAACTAACCGTAATCAAATGTTAATCACTGATAAAACAGGGCTTTTTACATTTTTTTTTTTTTTTAGTCGTTTACATTCGGGTTTATTTAACGAAGTAAGCGTTAAAAAGAGAGATGGAAAATAGAAAATAAAAAAGGGTTAGAAAAAGATAAAAAAAAAATCAATCATTCTATTGAGGGGTTACGTTATTTAATGCCTTTTTTTTATTTATTTACTCTATGGCGGTAGTATTTATTTATTCTTGCCCGTAAAAAAGAAGAAAAATCTGCAGTACGTAAGTGTTCTTTTTTTTTTTTTATTTCCCGGGTTTTTAGGGAGAGAGTGAAAAAGATGGGTGGAGGATAAGAGAGAGAGAGAGAGAGAGAAAAAGGATCAAACGAAGCGGGAAATTTGAATTCTTGCGGTTTTTTTTTTTTTTTTTTTTTTGGAAAAATAGAAAAAAAATTTTTTTAAATGTGCGAAATGAAATAAAAAAAAAAAAAATTTTTTTGTTATTGTTGTTGTTGTTGCCGGTAATTTTAATGTTTATGATTTTATTCGCTCCGTTGGTTCGTAAAGTTGGCAATAATGTTTTTTTTTTTTTTTTCGTTTTCTTTGCGTCGTGAAAAAAACTATTGCTCCGGGATAAATTTATATAAACGCTTTTATTATTATTTTTTTTTAATGTTTTGTTTCATTCGAATGAAAGTCTATTTAAAATTTTCTTTTGTTTTTTTTTTTTTTATATTCCTTCACTTGATTGATTTTTTACTCTATGACTTTAAATACGGTTTTAATTTTTATTGTTATTATT